TCAAGTGAAATAAACTGAAAAATGAACTGAAAAAAAACTTTTCCACCATTGCAAAAAAACATCAGTTTGCTTTGACCAAAACCCAAAAAAATGGCTTTCTGAGTGATTTTTCATACAAAAGTCTATTTTTCGAGGAAAATTTCAAGAAATGTCGATTTCAGGCCAAATTTATGAGCAAGTACTCGGTTGTTCACAAACCACCATTATTTTTGCAAAAAAATGGCGGTTTGCCTTGATTGAAACCCTGAAAAATGCTTTTTTCGGGTACTTTCCGTACAAAAGTGTCATTTTTCAAGGTTTTTCAGGTCCTCAGTCGGAGGCTTATGGTACAAAATTGAAGAATTTTGTATTCATTATGTAGAAATTGTTCTGAAAAACGGTCATTTTGTATGGGAGGTATCTTAAATTTGCGTAATTCGATAATTTTACGTTAGAAAACTCCTATTTATTTTCGAAAATAATGGAGGCCTGTGAACAATCAAACACCCATTTTGTTGAATTTTGGTCTCAAATCGACTTTGGCATCGAAAAAATCACTCAAAATGGAGATTTTACATATAAAACGCTGAATTGAGCCCAAATGGTAAGTAAATTGGTATATTTTCATTTGTTTCGCTGGAAAATAAAAGCCATTCACGATTGAATGCAGAATAGGGAATTTTTGAAGCAAAAAAAGTGTTTTTATTGCGAGTTGAAAACATCCTCTGAAGCAGGGTCATTTTTCGACCTTTTAGACCCATCAGACAGGATTGAGATAAGTCTCAATCGATTTTCCGTCAAAAATTACGTGGAATTAGAATCATGACAGCCCATTATAGGTGGGTTTTCTATGCCACAAATGTGATTTTGTAAGCAGATTTCGACCATTCGTTTATTCTATGAAGAAAAGTCAGTTTCGGACCAAATTTATAGGTAAATCGATGTAGAAAAGGTCGTTATTTCAAGTATTTTGACGAAAAAATAGCAGTTTTCTCATATCAAAATGTCGTAAGAGGCCATTTTCGACCATTTTTCCCACAAAAACGCTGAAAAATGACATATGATTCACCTGCCGAGGCCAAATACAAAAAATTGAATGGTTGTTACACGGAATTTTATTTTTCCATCTGAAGCGGCGTAACATGGGCTATCTTTTGACGCAGAAAAAACATGCCAAAAAAACCCCACTATTTTGAGATATTTAACATTTTATACTTTGAACCCATTTTTGGAGGTTCCAATGGGGCCATAGAGGATAGGTTACTATGCGAATTTTGTAGCCCCATCGATTCCCTTTCCAACGGTACCATAGGTTTGGCAATGTGTCAACTACTTCACAGTTGGATTTTAGTTGGCGCAAACCCTTTTTTTCGATTTTTTCAATTTTTCCAAAAATTCACACTGGGTTAACTCAGAAAGGCGGGCCACTTTTGGGCCTGAGATTTTGGTTTTCTCTTTTTCTATCGGAAACAAGACTCCAAGCCAATTTTCAGCCAATTCGGCGACCTCACATTGTAACTCTTCCCTGATTTCGTGTGGAATGGCCGATATGTAATATAACATTTTTTTGTTTTTCTGGAAACCCCCCCCCAAAAAAAAATCGTAGTTACGCCACTGGTGACGTCAGTAACGTTACACAAAAGGTCAGTAACGTTACAGGTACAAGGTTCGTGACAAAAAAAAAAAACAGGATGCGATAAGAAAAATGTGATTTCTGTCGACTGAATATTAAAATTTGAACATTTTTCTTTGAGAAAATGTATTTAACCTACCGATTTTGTACATTTTTGACAGAAATTAACGCCTTCGAAAAAGAGTCCACAAAAAGTCGAAAAATGACAAAAAAAATCGCAAATTTGGCAATTTTGATAAGAAAAAATAATCCAAATTCCATGAAATTCTCAGAATATATTGAGTTTATGAAATAATAGTTTGGTGCAAAATTTCATAGCAATCTAACTTTAGGACCATTTTTTCTTCACTTTTATTTTTTTTCCGTGGTTTCGTCTCACGTGGCCGTGCCCATATCGAGAAAAAAATATTTTGTCACAAGACTTTAATATATTACCTGCTCGGTATACTTTTGGTCAGCACAATTGCGATTTACTGTTTCAATCTTCGTTCCATCTTGTAGTTGATACTGGAAGACCTTTTTCATGCACATAGTTGAATATGGACAGTCAATGACAAACTCATCACTTTCGCTGAATTTGGAACATAGCTGCTGGGTTCGATTTTCTGTACGAAAACTGGGCGCAACTGTACAACGGTAGCACTGAATTGCTTCTGTAACATCTATAATTGAATGAAAAAATAGCTTTATTACTTTTCCGTACACACCGTCAAGGGAAAGTATAGGAATTGGTCCCGAAAACTTTTTTCGCAAAATTGGCTTAGATCATCATAAAAACTCATGAAACGCGTAGAAAACCACTTTTTGAGACACTTTTCCGTTCGTTTGCCGTCGTCGTCGTCGGTGTTTGTTAACACGATAACTCAAAAAATAATTGAGATAATCGAAATCAGGAAACGCCAAAAGTTTTGTATCCAAAAAACTTAGTTTAAGTTCGAAGATGAGCCATTTTCGATTTGATCCTGGGGTACTTGCCCTAAGAAAAACCTCAAAAAATTGACACTTTTATATGGGAGGTAGTGATGGCTTCGAACGTTCGTTCGTTCGTTCGGCAATTTAAAAAAATATTTTTTGTTCGTTCGCTCGTTCGACAATTTAAAAAAAAAATTTTTGTTCGTTCGTTCGTTCGACAATTTTAAAAAATATTTTTTTCTTCGTTCGTTCGTTCGACATTCATTTTGTTCGATGTTCGGTCCGAACAAAGTTTTTTTTATTTCAAAATCTCCCGAATAAAATTGGTATTACTATGAAAAATTATAATAAAAGCTAATAAAAGCATGAGCTGTAACGATTACATTATAAATTTGATCAATACATCGAATCTTCTAATGTAAAAAATTTTTGTTCGGACCGAACATCGAACAAAATGAATGTCGAACGAACGAACGAACAAAAAAATATTTTTTCAAATTGTCGAACGAACGAACAAAACCTTTTTTTAAAACCATGTCGAACGAACGAACAAGCGTTCGAAAGTGTTCGACGGCCAACACTAATGGGAGGTACCCGTAAATCGACTCCGATTGGCTTCAAACTTTCTGGAATTTCATTTTTTGGGAGAAAAATAGGATTCTGAAAATTTGAAACCAATCGGAATCGATTTACAGGTACCTCCCATACAAAATTTTTGAAATTTTGACTAAAATTACCGATTTTTGGACAATTTTGTATGGGAAGTACCCGTTAATTTTCCGATTCCGATTGGCTTCGAACTTTCTGAGGTTTCATTTTTTGGAGAAAAAATAAGATTCTGAAAGTTTCATGTTAATCGCATTTGCAGAAGTTTGATTTTTTGTCCTCAATTTTTGTCGAAATTTTTCTCGAAGTTTTAGTTAAAGTGACCGATTTTTCACTTTATTTTCATTATTTTATTTTTACTGCCTTTATTTCAAGAAAATTCACAAAAAATAACCAAAAATACCTACGGACAACGCAGGCCAACGGTACGGAAAAGTTCGGGATTACCAATGTAATTCTTTTTATTATTATTATTATTGATTATTATTATTCAACTTCATTTCAACTTGAGTAAAATAGTTCAATGTTTACAAAAAGGCTATAGTTAAAAGAAAGATTCACATGAAACAAGTAAAAATTGCAAAAAACGTCAAAATCAATGTCAAATTAGTGCGACAGAAGAGTGAAAAAGTACATATAAAATGCTTGTAGTTTACTTGCTAGCACCAGTTTTTGTAGCATTAGTTTTTGTAGATTATTCACAAATTCCACATATTTATCCCGTTAGAAAATAGATGTATTCAAATTTCCATAAAATCCACAGGCGACGTATTTATACAGGCAACTATCACATCAATTGTTTACAATGTATACGGAAACACTATTTTTATTTCGAAGAAATTTAATTGCAAATGTCCACATATTCGGTCATTGAATTATGGATGTGTTTTTACTTAGGTTTTCACAATCTTGTCATAACGTTGATCGTCGACAAATGATCAAACACTGTTTACATTGTATTTATTTATTTATTTCGCCAAATACTGGCTACTTGCAATAACATTTCGTCTGTATACATATAAAATTTTGATTTTGTTGTCAATACTTTCGTTTTTAATTTACATTTCATTCGTTTACCGTGTTACACACTAAGTTTCTTATTTTGGATTTAAATATTGTTCTTACATTTACATTCTCGAATATCACAGAAAATTCATTAATCAATCTCATTAACTTTGCTATTGGTTGGTTGTACGAGTAGTCGTTTCTATATAATGGAATAGTTAGCATATTGTGCGACCTAAGTCTTCTGTTTCTAGTTGACGGAACAAAATTTGAACTGACATTTACATCATACATATTATTATGGAGAATATCGAAAGCAAACATTAAATTTATTATCTTTCTTCTATCCTCGAGTGTCTGCATTCCCACTATTTGACATCTTTCTCTATACGGTGGTAATCTGTATTGCCCTTCATCTAAGCTATCTGTACCCAGTAAATATATGAGAAAACCTTTCTGAACCGATTCTACACATTTTTTATATATCTCTTGGTATGGGTCCCAAATCACTGCACCAAACTCGAGTTTTGATCTAACATAGGCCGTATATAATAACATCTGCGTTGTTATAGAGAAGCTACTACGTGAAATCTTTTTTATGAGACCGAGAGATTGTCGTGCACTTGCTATCACCTTTTCAATGTGTGTTATGAATGTAAAGCGTTTGTCAATTTGCAAGCCTAAATCGCGCATTTCGTCTTGACGGTCGAGTGTGTGTTCGTGCATTTTATACAGCGCATTAACTGGAGCATTCGATTTCGTGATGGTTAGGATTGCACATTTTTTTATATTAAAGTGGAGCTTGTTTTTTTCGCACCATTTCAATAGGTTGTCGATGTAAAGCTGTCAACGGACACGGACAAAAAAGTGAAAAAGTGGTTTTTTGCTGTCCGTCCGTCCGAAAAAAAAAATTTCTATGCTCTTTTAATAATCAACACAACATTTACACAAGAACAAATAGTTTGATTAATTTTCTTATTAGTTTTGAGAATTTTTCTTCATACAATTTTCATTAAGAAGTATCAGAAGAAAGTACTTATCAAGATACGAACATCCGTCGGAAAATTATTAGCGTTAAATACGCGAACCATTTGTTGAAAAATTGAAATTTTTGGCGAACGGACGGGAAAAACGTGTTTTTAGTTTCATTGAAATTTTCGGACAAATTTCGGACAAAAAATTGTCCGTCCGTCCGAAAACGTGTCCGAACATTCTGACTGTCCGAATGTTCGGACAAAAAAGCGTGTCCGAAATGTTTCGTACAAAACCTGTCCGTGTCCGTTGTCCGTTTGTCCGAAATAAAATAATTCGGACATTGTCCGTCCGTCCGAACTATCGGACGGACAAAATTTGTCCGTCAAAAGTTTTCATTTTTTTCGGACGGACGGACGGACAACTTCTTGTCCGTTGACAGCTTTATGTCGATGTCCCTTTGCAACACGAACACGTCGGATGCGGTTTTGATTTCGATGTAGATTTTGATGTCATCAGCAAATAACAACACTATGGCTCTTTCGACTATTTCAGTGATATCGTCGATAAATATCAGGAAAAGCATAGGGCCCAAAGTGCTACCGGCTGGAACACCCGATGTTGCTTCATACACTCTTGACTTGTGTTTGCCGATTTGCACGTAGTTTGTGCGATGCGTTAGGAAATCAAGTATCCATTTTGCTGTCTTTTTGGCGATGCCAAACTTCGGTAGTTTTTTAATAAGTAGTGCATGGCATACTCGATCAAACGCACTTTTGAAATCGCCATAGAAAACATCCAGTTGAATTCCCTTCTCCAACGCCGTATGGGCTGCTATCGATAGATTGATGAGATTCGTCGTGACTGATCTGCCTGGGCGGAAACCGTGCTGTGCATTTGACAGCCTTGGATTGACAGTGCAGAGTAATTTGTCATGCACGATAATTTCGAATATCTTCAGAATCACCGAGCTGATTGCGATAATTCGGTAGTTTTCGACGTTGCTACGATCACCTTTTTTGTGGAGCGGCATTATTCTCGACGGTTTTAAAACATCAGCTATTTTGCCGGCTTCCAATGACATTCGCAGTAATAGCCATAACGGGAAAATGAGTGAATCGACGCATTCCTTGATGACTCTTGGGTGAATTCCATCGGGTCCAACACTCCCTTTTATTTTCAATTTGTTTATCGCTTTTTCAACATCGAACATTGATACGTTGAGTTCGTCGATGCCATTTTCCTGTACATTGCGATAAATCTCTTCGATGTCAATGACTGTATTGTCAATGCTGTATGATTTTTCGAAATGGTTGGCAAACAGGTTTACGATTCCATCCATTTTATCACAGATTTCTCCCTCGTACATCATTTCAGCTGGATAGTCTGCTGCTGCGCTGTCACTTTTCACATATTTCCAAAACTCGGCAGGATTTTGACGAATGTTCTCTTCGACATTTGAAATATACTCATTGTACAGCTTGTCGTGCAGCTCGTCGAACTCCTTAAGTGCATTAATGTAATCATCGTTGATTTCACCCACTGGCATTCGTATGTACATTTTGTTTCTCCGATTTTTTAGCCACTGGAGCTGTGGTGTCCACCATTTTGGCTTGTTTTGTTTTGCTTTGATTTGTATCTTCGGCACATTTTCGTTGATGAGTCGAATCATGGTTTCATGAAAAAATTCATATGCCGCATCAACATTCAATGAGTCATGTGCAAAATTGAGTGATTCAAGTTCAAGTTTCATGCGTGCATAGTTCCCTCTGTTGTAACAAAACACTTCAATAAGCTCGGTTTCGGCAGTACGCTGCTCAGCTTTGAATGTTATGACAAGTGGACGATGAAACACATCAGTTTGAACTGAAACGGCTGTGTTTGCTTCACGTACAGTAGTATCATTCGGTTCATCGACAAATACCAAATCAAGTACGTTGTTCGCAATGTTTGTTATGTTGGACAGTTGGAATGATGGTAGTTCCTGCATGCCCAATAGAAACTCAGATGCAATCGCAAAATACTCGGATCTCGTGTGTGTAGATAAATTTGTTGGCAAGTAATGCATTTCGGAGTCATCGGCTTCCCATCTCACTCTTGCTAAATTCCAATCACCCAAGATGAATATGCGATGATCGGCGTAATTTGTGAAGAGGTGATTTATCAAACCAAAATGCACTGAATACGCTACGTTATCTATTTGCTGCCATTGTGGTACGTAGCCAACATAAACTATTAACGGCTTCGGTTTGCTTGCAATTCTTACACACACACATTCACACGTTGGATGGTTGATTTCGTTGATACGTTTTGATACGAGTTTTTTATCCACTGCAATGGCTACACCGCCGCCCAAAGTTTCTCTGTCGCGCCGGTATACATTGAGTGTGGCCGGAAAGTAGTCATCGGATTTGTGATGCTCGCTGAGCCAGGTTTTGGTGAAGCAAAGTATTCGATACAACGATGCTGCTATTCTGTACTTGATGTCCAACTTCGATACTATGCTGTGTATGTTTTCATAGTAAATGTACTCCTCGGATTTTATTTTCTGTGTGGAATCAATTTGACTCGAATTAATTGGTGGTGTAGTATCACTCGCTCGTAGAGAACATATACTGTTTAATAAAATGTTACCTGGAGGGTCACATTCAAGACCGTTGAATTGCGCATTATCGCCGTTTTCTCGTTCAGAATTTCTCAAATTCACGTTGCTTGGGGTGGCTGTGGTGACGTCCGAAAATTTTGCTCGTTGCTGTGTGATTTGGCACTTTGCGGTGTGTTGAAACCCAACAGATCGTTTGCATTTTCGAAAATGCGTTGTGACTTTGCCGTGTGTGTTTCGCATGGTGACGCTGAATTGGGTTTATCAATCGAAGGGTTTGACTTTTCGGGCAATTTCATTTTCACGAATTCACGAACTAAATTCTCGCTTGACCAATTTGCTCTATTCATCAGTTCATCGAAGTGATCGCTCACAACGTCAATTTTGAAAGAAACGAACGACAATTTGCTCAAGTCTTGCTCTTTTTTAATCAATTTGATGCATCGGAACTTCTTAGCGTCGGAAATGGTCGTAACACTGAGAATGTGCTCATTTATTTCTTCTACGGTGGTGTCGATATCAAAATTAGACACCCCAACTGACTTATCCAATCGTTGTTTTGGTGACTTCGGTACTTTGGCAGGTTTCTTTGTCACTGGTTTACCAATTTGAAAGTTACCCGTGCCATTTCTCGGCGATGGAATAGGTGCAGATTCAATGAGTGTTGCCGATGAATTTTCAATTAGCGTAATTTCACTGTGTTTACGTTTGCCAGACTTGGCCGAATTTTTTGCTGTTGCTGTGATAGTCGATTTGAGCACGGTTGAGAATTGACGTTGTTGCGGTTTGTTTACATTTGGTTTACTGGCACAGTTCGAGGACGGAGTGTGTTTGAAATTTATTGACGGAACTGATTTTTGTACGTTGTTTTGTTGCATGTTTTTCGTTGCATGTTTTTCGTTGCATTGCTCGTTTCGATTAACAAATTTGCATTGCTCGACTTGTGACGAAATGGTTTTGCTCCATTCTCTGAATTCAGCAGCTAATGAAGCGGTTTTTGTTCTCTTCGGAGACAGCTCAGAGCCATTCGTTGTGTCATTTTTTTCGCCCGGTTTCGGTATGACGTTTGATATCAACACATCGCAGTTGTCGCAGACAAAAATCAATGTTTTCGGATCGACAGCAATTTTTGCACCACTTGGCAGAATGATTTTGACGTGGTTGTGTTTCGCTTTTTCAAAGCCGTAGCACAACAAATAGCAAAGGGTATTGCATTTTTTGCATTTCGTTTTTGGACCCGACACGCAATCGCGTTTGCAGTCGTCTTCACTGCACTTGTGGCCCATTGTGAGCAAATGACGGCAACAACAATAGCAAGTGCGGCACTGAGAATGTTTATGCACAAAATAAACTTGTTTAAATTACAAGAAACAAGTGAACTTGATATTTTTCGACGACAGACGTTGTTTATGAAATTATTTTTTCACTTTTTACATAAAAAAAATATAGTTTGGATATAGAAATAACAAAATTTTTGACGGACAGTAATTACTTCTGACTACCCACATCCAACATGAAGTTGTCATTGTATATAACTAAATGTATGTTCTTACTTTTGCTGTCAATTGTGCGCATATTTTGTAAGTTACCTCATAAATTTTTGATACAAATTTCGAGAGCTTTGCATACAAATATAAGTAAATTTACTCAGTTTGCCAGAAGAGAGTATCGGACAGCGGCAAACGGATATAATATCACCGAATACAACAAGCGACTCGAAGCCCTCGATATGACATCACTAGAAAGAAGGAGAGTAAATACATCAATTGTATTTATTTACGATATCGTAAATGGATACGCAAACTGTCCTACTGTACGCAATAATATAGCAGTAGGTGAGAGCATTCGTACCTTGCGCCACACTAACTACCTAAAAATCAAGCACAATCTGATGAACAAACAGATTAGAGCTCAAATTCCACAATTGTGCAAATACGCAAACAAAGTGGCTGATCCATTCCAAAATTCAACCAGTCGCGCAAACTTCATCACATCAGTACGAAAAGAGCACAGTCAAATTTTTAGTTTAAAGTACTGACAAATCGTTTTTTTTTTCTTTCATCCTTACTAAATGTATAGTATTAATGAGGCATAACTGTGATTTTACACAAATTTTTTGAAATTTAGTAACATTGACTGTGATATAGCCATCCATTGAGTTGGTGATTATTTTGACCTGTTATTTATTTATAATGGAATCAGATGAAAAACCTCTAGACGAGGTTAAAATGGAGTGACGCTCCTGTGCGTGGATTTACCACTCAAAATGACTGATATCATTTTGACGGCAAAGCGCTTGAAAACTCGATCTAAAATCAAAAGTCGTGACGCAAGATATTTTTCCTTATTGTGAGTAAATTTTCACAATAGTGAATGCGAAAAATACTTTTGAACCTCGTATGTAGTGATAATACAGCGTCCTAGCGTCACTCAAAATGATATCAGTCATTTTGAGTGGTAAATCCGCGCACAGGAGCGTCACTCCATTTTAACCTCGTCTAGAGGTTTTTCATCTGATATCACTACTTTTGTAAGGCAATTATTCTCGGAAAAAATACACTTTTGTCAGAAATATGTCTATTTTAACCCTCTAGCTGGCAAGATCGAAATAATGCGAATTTTTTATCGGGAATTTTTTTCTAGACTAATTTGTGCCCAAAAAACCCAAATCCGCTTTTAGAATTGAAAAAAAGTGTACCAGGTAGCCGCCAGGTAGCATAGATAAAACCGTTCCTATAGGAAGGGTTGCCAGGTGTAGTCAAGACATTTCCCATACTATTTCGTATGGGATCTTGGTGATTTGTATGGGAGCTACCCCTAAATCGAGGCACACATAGTGCAAACTTTCAGAATCCCATTTTTTTACTAAAAAATGAGATCCCAGACTCTGGTAAACTTTATTCGATGTATGGTAATTGAATTCACTAGATTAATGTCTAAACAAAGCAGAAAAAAATTCCCGATGGATTTTGGTAACTGGAAATGTGTTTTTTGATGATTTTAAAATATGGCTCGGAGAAAAATAATTTTAGGTGCTCACAAATCGAAATTTCACACTCGAATGACTATAAAAGCCAAACGAAACGTCAAAATACCTATACACCTATGGGAAAAATGTTGAGAAAAGTGTTGCCAACACATCTCTAGTACATCTTAATAGTCAAATAATATGCTAAATAGCTGAAAAATGGACTTTTGTAACCGTTCCTATAGGAACGGTAACCAGCTAGAGGGTTAAGGTCTTATCATTGGGAAATTGTTATTTTTCGGGTAAAACATTTGCATCCACATTTCGCAAGTTTTGTAAATAGTAAATTTCCACTTTCATTAAAAAAAAGTCCCATTTTTTCCTTATTGGACATTGTAAAATGTGATTAAATTTCAAAATATCCATTAAAAGAGTTTTGAAGTAATTTTAGACCCATTACTTCATCGAAACATATTAATTTCCAACCACCAAAGCTCTGGAAAGTGCATTTTTTATGTATCCCCCGAGCAAAAGTTCAATTTCATACATTCAGATGCCAAAATGCCGATTTATGACCAAAATGACAACGAAATGGATATTCAAGTGTTCGTGGACTCCCATTATTTTCACGATAAAATAGCAGTTTTCTAAGACCAAAACGACGTCAAAGGTCTATTTCACGTGTTTTTCGAACAAAAATATCATTTTCAGTGAAAATAGAGCAACTTGAAAAATTCACTTCAATCAGACCTATTTTTCGACCATGAAATAGCCTCAGATCGCATTGTGACCACTTTTAATCGATTGCTCGTCGAAAATTGAGCGGATATGGCCTTTTGTGAGCCTTTTTCAGCCAGTAGAGCGTATTTTTGGCAGCAATTTCATCGTAGAATGCGACTCTTCGTACAAATTCCGTTCATTGATGAATTGCCTATGCCCAGAACTTCGAAATACGAATTTTCCCGGATATGTGGTATATGCCATTTTGTTGGTATGGTGGCCGGCTACAAACGCTCAGTTTTTGGAAACACATTGTAGGGCTGATTTTTGAGAAATCGCGTTTGGTGTGAAATTTAAGGGGGTCGATTTTTCATAAAAATCGACTTTTTTCTTTTATATCACATAAACATTGGCATGTGTGTATGGAACTTTTTGAAG